AATTTATTTGCTTTAAAATTCATGATAAGTAAATTTTGTCAGTTTAAGAAAGAGAGTAAAATACAAGGTATGACATATATATGTCTATAAAATAGTAGTATATTTTAAGTACATATATGTATTTACTTATTTATTCTACTGTAGGATAAATATACTACTATTTTATTGACGTATATATATCTGTCATACCTTGTAATTTACTCTTTTTCCTTAAACTAACGAAATTTACTCATCATGAGTTTTGAAGCAAATAAATGAATAAATTTTCCCAATTATTTTTTTTCTAAATTGAGTTTAAGAACTATCTTCGAATAGCCTATGAGGGATGCTTAATACCTTCCCCTCGAGTAACCAAAATGTTTACTCAGAATCTCAATGGTTTCGCAAATCAAAGTAGAGTTTACATTTAAATAAAGAAAAAAAATGGGTTTCTTAATATTCTCCTTAAAATTAGGTGGCGACTCAAAAACAAAACAATTCTCAAAATCAGGGTGACAACCATATTATGTTGTGAACTATTTTGATTAGTTCAAAATAGGGTGTGACAACTTGACGACTCTGCTGGGAGGATTGAGACCAACTAAATAGAGCTAATGAATTAGTAAATCTCTATATTCTTGGATGATTTCAATTTTTGTTCGATCTTTTAAATGCCCTTGATGAGAACCAAGTGGTTTCCTTTTTATAGCCAAATTGGGCTCCAAGAATAAAAATATTGAATTCTTGGAAAAACCAATCTCAGAGAAAACAGAAATGAAATGATGAAGGAGAAGAAAATATCTTGAAAATCCTACTTTTTCGGATTGATTGGAAATGGGTGAGTGATTGATGGAGTCATAAAGCAAGGATCCTCCTTAGTCATTTTCTGACAAAGGTGATGGGAGAGGGCGTGGAGAGGCCATGGGGAAGGACAACATTGGGAAAGAAACGTCTCTTTCTTTTTCCAGGTTGAGGCCTTTAGGGAAAAGAAGAAGTAGCTAGCATAGGAGTCTTGAAAAAGAAAGAGGAAAACTAGAGCGTTCTTTTTGGAGAAGACGGGTGATTTCTGGGAAAGGAAGAGGTAGTAGGCGGCGGTAGAGGTCTATTAAAGTCTTATTTAATTTCGGTCGTCCGATCGTTTGATTGGACGGTTAATAAAAAAGAGTTTTAAAAATAATAATTAAAGCCGTTAGATTAGATCGTAGGGCCGAGATTGAAGCTAATGAAGCACAATTCATGTGCTTCCTAAGTGGCATGTGTGGATTGGCCGAATTAGAATGACTTGGATTGCCAAATTTTGCTCAAATTAAGTCTATTTAAATTATAACCTATTCTTTATTAAATAGTCATATTAACTAAAATTAAAAATAATTATTTTGCAAGATTAGTTTATTTGATAAAATTAGTCATTCTAAAAAATACAAATTGGTATAAATTAGTAACTCATTAATTAATTAAGCTTCCTAATTTGAAAAAATATACGAAAAGATATTTATTGAAATAATAAAAATTATATTTAATTAGAAAAATCGAGTTATTCCTTAAGAACAATATTTATTTGACGTAAAATTTAAAAATGAGAAAGTAAGTAGTAATATTTACATAATATATTTAATTTTTATAATAAATAATATTTATGAAATAAAATTTATCGAATAAGATAAAAACTATATTTTAAAAATGTTTTCTTATTCCTACAAAATTTCATAACATATATATTTTATTATCATATTCTTGAAAAAGTTTCGTCATATGTATACATTATTATTATTAAGAAAGGTTTAGTTAAACAAATGTGGAGAGCCGAATTTGAGTGTCAATAACTTGCCCCTTTCTTTGTCCATGGAGGAGAGTAAAGAAGACGCGAACAAAGAAATATTGACACAATCCAATTTAGGCGACCACCAAAATATACTTTGAGCAACACGTTGGCAGGAAATATTTATGAAGTTATGGCTGAACTCTGGCTTCTGAGTTGCCTACATATCTCAGGTTTCATGAGAAATCAGGCCATATGTAGTTCGAGAGTGTTGGAACATAACAAATTTGATTAAAATTTACCCATTACTGAAATCTCTTGGTGGTGAGGTATGAAGAAATTAGCAAGAATAGAGGGATGGGACATAGTCTTTAAGAAACTTGAACGAGAAATGCTTTGTAGCAATTTATACTGAAGACTTATGGTAGAGAGATGAATTTTCAAAAAGATTGTCAGGTGTTGAGTTATAATGAACTGAGACATGAAAGATTTATAAGTAAGATTTAAATCTGAACTTCTGAAAATCGAGTCGTGTTGAGTTTTAAAAGTGAATCCTTGACGTAGCTAGTGATGCTTGACATTGCACTAACTTTCCCTAGTTTGTTGCTTAGAGGGAGTTCCTCATTGTAATGCGTTGTTCTGCAAAACATGTAAACGGGTGAAAAGTACCTGTTGCGGTTCAAAAAATTATAAATTGAAATATTAATGTAAAAAGTAGAGTGTAGATGTTCAAACAATTGTTGATGTCTCTTTTTGTGTTGTGAATGTGATGTAGATAAACTAAGTTGTAATGTAGAGGCCTCCGACTGGTGGGGTTGTTGTAATATAAAAGCATGCATCAGGCTGTGTAAAGCTTGTAATGTGAAGCCTCTGACTGGCGGGGCTGTTGTAATGTAAAAGCTTGCATCTGGCTGTGTAAAGCTTTGTAATGTAAAGTCTCTGATTGGTGGGGTTGTTGTAATGTAAAAGCATGCATCTGGCTGTGTAAAGCTTGTAATGTAAAGCCTCCGACTGGCGGGGTTGCTATAATGTAAAATCCTGCATCTGGCTGTGTAAAGCTTGTAATGTGAAGCCTGCGGGGCTTTTGTAATGTAAAAGCCTGCATCTGGCTGTGTAAAGCTTTGTAATGTAAAGCCTCCAACTGATGGGGTTGTTGTAATGTAAAAGCCTGGATCTGGCTGTGTAAAGCTTGTAATGCAAAGCCTTCGACTGGCGGGGTTGTAATGTAAAATCCTGCATCTGGCTGTGTAAAACTTGTAATGTAGACCTCCGACTGGCGGGGCTGTTGTAATGTAAATTCCTGCATCTGGTTGTGTAAAGCTTGTAATGTAAAGCCTCAGATTGACGGGGCTTTTGTAATGTAAAATCCTGCATCTAGATGTGTAAAACTTTTAATGTAATGCCTTCAATTGGCGGGCTATTGTAATGTAAAAGCCTGCATCTGGCTGTATAAAGCTTATAATGTAACATTTAATTGTTGACATATGACAGCGTCACTATACTTGCATTCCCCCGGTCGGTGGAGTTTCAATGATGTCACTACGATGTTAGTCTCTGATTGGTGGAGTGTTGCTTCTTTTGCTTATATACAGGCTTCGATTGGCGGAGTTCGATCGATGTTTGCTATGTACAACCTCTGGTTGGTGGAGTTTGACGATGTTTGCTATGTACAATCTCCAATTGGTGGAGTTTGGCTGATATTGGCTATTTACAGCCTCCGATTGGTGGAGTTTGAGTGACATTTGCTATGTACAACCCCAGACTCGTGGAGTTTGATGCTGTTAGGCGGTGGTCTCCGATTAGCGGAGCTGTTGATGAGGTTAGATTACAAGCTTTAGCTGGTGGAGCTATTTTGACAGAAAGCTAACTATCCTATTTTCCTATAGAGGGCCCCCTTTTCTTCAGTATTTGATCTGGATCTTGAGCGTACCTACAAAAAATTTAAATGAAATATTCTTAGACATAAGATGCAAGGTAAAGTACTTCCGGGAAATAAAGTAGGGAAAAAGTATTTTGGCTCATGATTGTGAGAAGTCGAATGACGTTTCTGGTCATGCCCCGAGACTTGATGTTATTTTTCTTGATTCATGTGTTCCTGCACTCAAATAAAAAATTAGTGTGGGAGGGGGTGTTGATTTGTATCGACTCGCGGACTGAAGCCTCGTCACTGGAATCCTTCGGCACTTTCTTTGCCCGTACGTAGTTTCTTAACCTAGTGACTTGGTAAGTGGAAGAGTAGAAAATCTCTTTGAAAATAAATAACTTGTTTTTAGTAAATAAGTATTTACGTATATATTAGGTATATATATATATATATATATATATATGTATAGATAGTAATTCTCTAGCATTTTTAGATTATGACATGTTCCAAAGTCTATTAAGCTTTCCATTTTGTTGACTATATCCCAACATAGTCTTCTTGTAGATTTTAGCCTTCTGATGAAGCTTCCCTAGCTCTTTCGCAAACACTATGACGATCGAGATTCTTCATATTCTGAGGTTACGCTAACTATGAGGAAGTGTTTCCTAAGGGTAAAAAAAATGGAAATTATGCAGTGCATTGATCGAGCCTGACTCAGGCGGCCTATGTATCCCCAAAATAGGAATCAAATTGAAATGTAGTTCGAATACAAGTGGGAGAAATATAAGTATGTGATGCAATGACTGAGCTTGACTCAAGCTGCCTACGTATCCAAGTTGAATCAGGTCGTAACGTAGTTCAATACAATAGGAAAGTGAAAAATATGAAATGGAATGAGCGGGCCTGACTCAGACTGCCTACGTGTCCAAGAAGAATCAGGTTAGGACATAGTTCGAATTACAATAGGGAAGAGTGAAAAATATGAAATAGAATGACTGGGCCTGACTCAGGCTGCCTACGTGGAATCAGGTCAGGACGTAGTTCGAATACAATAGAAAAGTGCAAAATGTAAGGGAAAAGTTAAAACATGTAATGTCGGGCCTGACTCAGGCTTCCTACGTATCCAAGCGAAATTAGGTCAGGACGTAGTTCGAATACAATAGGGAAGAGAAAATGCAAGGGACCGAATCCGACAAGGATTGCCTACGTATCCCACCGAGGGAATTTAGGTCGAGCGTAGTTCTAATTATATGGAAATGATGATTTTGGGTTTTCTAAGGGAGACCAGATCCGATGTGGGTTGCCTACGTACCCCACCATGGGAAGTCAGGTCTAGATGTAGTTCTGTTACATTAAAAAATGCAAAAGTACCAGAAATAAGCACTAATCTTGTGATCTTCAGATGTAGTATTTCTTGATGGCATCTGAATTAATTGGCTTTGTGCTCACTTTGCCGTTCATTTTCGATAATATTATTGCTCCTCTAGAGAGTACTCTATGAACCATGTAAGGTCCTTGCCAATTCAGTGCAAATTTCCCTTTGGCTTCTCCTTGGTGAGGAAAGATCTTCTTCAATACTAACTGCCTCGGTGTGAATTGTCGAGGTTTGACTTTTTTGTTGAATGCTTTGGTCATCCTGTTCTGATAGAGTTGACCGTGACAAACTGCATCCATTTTGTTTTCATCGATGAGCATCAAATGTTCATGCCTGCTACGTATCCATTTTGCATCGTCCAGACCAACCTCTTGGATAATCCTTAAAGATGGTATTTCCACCTCGACAAGTATTACTGCTTCCGAACCATAAACCAACATATAAGGGGTTGCCCCAATTGATGTTCTGATTATGGTGCGAACCGAGTAAAGCATATGATAGCTTCTCATGCCATTGCCTGTGATTGTCTACGATTTTCCTTAAAATCTTCTTGATATTCTTATTTGCGGCCTCAACTACTCCATTCATCTGTGGTCAGTAAACTGTGGAATTTCGATGAGCAATCTTGAACCTTTCACAAGTTTGCCTCATAAGACCGCTGTTGAGGTTTGCTGCATTATCTGTTATGAGTGATTCTGGAATTCCAAACCGACAAACTATGCTGTTGCGAACAAAGTCAACCACTACCTTCTTAGTCACTATCTTGTATGTCGAAGCTTCTACCTACTTCGTAAAATAATTGATAGCTACTAGGATGAAATGATGTCCATTTGATGCGGGAGGCTCTATGGTCCAATAACATCCATGCCCGACAAATGGCTAGGAGGAACCCATCATATTGAGCTCATTCGGTGGAACCTGTATAAAATCTCCATGCAATTGACATTGATGACACTTTTGCACATATATGGTGTTGTCTCTCTCCATGGTCATCCAAAAATATCCACCTCTTAAAATCTTCTTTGCCAAAGTGAACCCGTTCATGTGAGGTTCACATGTTCCTGCATGTATTTATTCCAAAAGCCTTGTCGCTTCTACGGCATCAACACACCTCAGAAATCCTAAATCTGAAGTTCTCCTATACAAGATTTCTCCGTTAAGGAAGAAACGATTGGCCATCCTCCTCAAAGTCTGTTTTTGCTTGCTTGTGGCATTTTCGGGATATTCTTGTGCTTCTATCAACCTTCTAATGTCATAGTACCAGGGTTTTCCATCCAATCCCTCATCTATATGAAAACAATATGCATGTTGATCATGTATCTCTACATCAATAGGGTCAATGTAATTCTTGTCTGGATGTTGGATTATCGAGGACAATGTTTCCAAAGCATCGACAAACTCATTTTGAGCTCGAGGGACATGCTTGAAATCAATCCTTGTGAATCTCCTACTCAACTCTTTTATGTAACGCAAATAAGGCAGGATCTTGACATTATTAATGGTCCCTTCTCCTTGCACCTGATGAACCAATAAGTTGGAATCTCCAATCACTAAGAGTTCTTTGATGTTCATGTTGATGGCCAACTTGAGTCTAAGAATACAAGTTTCATAGTCTGCCATGTTGTTGGTACAATAAAACCTAATCTTGGGTGAGATTGGGTAATACTGACATGTTTCCAAAATTAAGACTGCTCTTATTCCAACTCCAATAGAGTTTGATGCTCCATCAAAGAACATCCTCCATCCATCATACGACTCTGATATGTCTTCCTCTACAAACAAAACCTCATCATTAAGGAAATAGGTCATGAGTGGCTTGTAATCCTGGTCCACCGGGTTTTCTGCGAGGTGATCAGCCAGGGCTTGTCCCTTGATAGCCTTATGTGTCACGTACACAATATCAAACTCGCTCAACAAAATTTGCCACTTTGCCAGTTTACCTGTAGGCATTGACTTCTGAAAGATGTACTTGAGTAGATCCATTCTTGAGATCAAGTACGTGGTGTATGCATATAGGTAATGCTTAAATATTTACGCGATCCAAGTCAAAACGCAACATGTTCATTCCAACAAGGTGTATCTTACCTCGTATGGTGTTAACTTCTTGCTCAAATACTAAATGGCTTGCTCTCTTCTACCTATCTCATCATGTTGCCCTAATACACATCCGAATGCATTATCCATGACAGATAGATACAATAACAAAGGATTTCCCGGCTATAGTGGGACCAATACTAATGGGTTGGACAAGTATTCTTTGATTCAGTCAAAAGCCTTTTGGCATTCCTCTGTCCATTTTGTGGCAGAATCCTTCTTTAGTAATTTAAATATGGGTTCACAGATCACTAAGGATTGAGCTATGAACCGACTGATGTAATTCAGTTTTCCCAAGAAACTCATCACGTCCTTCCTGGTCTTGGGGGGAGGTAGCTCTTGGATTGCCTTATCTTTGATGGATCCAACTCTATGCCTTTCCTACTAACGATGAATCCTAGTAGTTCCCGCGGGTACTCCAAATGCACACTTTGCTGGATTCAATTTCAGATTATACTCAAGCAACTTCCCAAAGAACTTTCGTAAGTCATCCAAGTGGTCTTAACTTCTTTTGGATTTGATAACTACATCATCCACGTACACTTCAATTTCCTTATGGATGATATCATAAAAAAGGGTAGTAATTGCCCTCATGTAGGTTGCACCCGCATTTTTGAGACTTTAAGGCATTACTCTATAGCAATACAACCCCTATTGAGTAACAAACGCTGTCTTTTCTGCATCATCTTCATCTATCAAGATTTGGTGATATCCTGCAAAGCAATTGACAAACGATTGCAACTCATATTTTGCACAATTATCGATGAGTATATGAATATTTGGAAGAGGGAAATCATCCTTAGGACTTGCTCTGTTGAGATCTCGATAGTCCACACATATTCTGATCTTTCCATCATTTTTTAGCACAAGCACAATGTTGGCTAACCATGTGGGGTAATTTGTAACCCTCACAATGTTTGCCTCAATTTACTTAGTTACCTCCTCCTTGATCCTTAACTCAAATCCGACTTGAACTTTCTTGTCTTTTGCTTAACAGATAGACAAGTGGGATCAGTTGGTAATTTGTATGAGACAATATTAGTGCTCAATCCTGGCATGTCATCGTACGACCAAGCAAATACGTCAACATATTGCTTAAGCAACTCTATTAACTCTTGCTTTCTTTCATCCTCTAAATGTATGTTGACTCGTGTTTCCTTAACGATTTCCTTATCTCCTAATTTGACAACCTCTGTTTCATCTATATTAGGTTTTTTCTGACTTTCAACTTGCTCGATCTCATGTGGTAGATTTTCAGGCATCAAGTTTTCATCATACTTTTCATGATCTTGTTCATCGCTTATACCTTGCTCGGTGGATTTGTTAAATGTCATATCCATTGAAAGAGGATTTTTATTAATATGAGTGCTAAAAAGTGCAAAAAGTAAGTAAAAATAAATAGATATTTAAAGTAATGAGGCAACATTTAAGAAAAATAAAGACTTTTTATTTCAAAGCATTCTAGCTTTTGGAAGAGGCAATCGACAAAAGATTAGGCATGATTCAAGCCTCAATTTGATCATGCAAATTTTAAAAATAAAAACTTCTTTTCCACACTACCAGAACTCTGGTTGAAACAGGGATGGGCTAATGTCCAGTTCTGCAAGATTTCTCCAGGTTCATCGCCACGAATGGTAAGTTTGCTTTGATTTATCTCTTCCTCTTCTCCAGCCATGGCCACAAACAGATTACCTATTCCTTCTATGATGTTATCATTGCCTGCTTGATCTGGAATCAAAGCTTGTTTTGGTACAAAGATTGTCTTTCTTGACCCGTGGTCGACTCTTCCCAAGGTAGGCTCAGATCCGAGTCCGTTGTTCCTCTCTGATGCTTCAGCTAGATTGGCTCAACTATGCCATTGGACTTTGGTCCAAGTCCACTCTTTGGCTGATACCCACACTTCAACATTTCTGACGTAATCGTACTTGACAATTTTGTATCATCTGGCTCTACCTCCTCATTGACCCATACAACTTGCATGATTTTCAAAATGTGAAAAGTAGCTCCGTCTAACTCGTTGGTAACTGGGATAGAATTAACAGAATGAATGGGGTGACTGAGCTCCGCATGGATGATAACTTCTATGTGACTCCACTTAAATTTCACACACTGATGAAGAGTGCAAGGGACCGCTCTTGCCATGCGTACCTATGGTCTTCCCAACAACAGGTTGTAGTTGGATGATACATCCATCACTTGAAATAGGATGGGGAATCCAACCAGCCCCACCTGCAATGTGAGATAGATCTTTCTGATGACACTTCTTTGCGCTCCATTGAAAGCTCTAACTTTCGCACGACTTTCCGTTATCTCTCCCATATTTACACCTAAATCCCTCAAAGTGGTAAAAAGACAGATGTTGCATCCAGAACCACCATCAATTAGAACTCGAGTTACAATCTTATCACAACATTTGCCTACGATGTGAAGCGTTTTGTTGTGCCCAGCCCCTTCTGCAGGCAGCTCATTATCATAGAAAGAAATCTTGTTTGCTTCCACTATTCATCCAATCGTTGAAGCTAAGGTTTCACTTGTGGTTTCTTTTAGAATGTTCACTCCACTTAACCGCTCCATCAAAGCATTCCTATGGGCTTCAGAACTCATAAGCAGAGAAAAAATGGATATGTGGGATGACGTCTTCTTCAACTAAATAGTCTTTAAGCTGCATCTTTTTCCAAAATTTTGCGGCTTCAACATCGGTAACATTCTTCTTTGGATTTTGTTCCTTTCCAAGAATTCTTTGATTTAGGTTTTCTAGGGCATAACACCTCCCCGACCTAGTCATCCCTTGAGCCATGACAATGTCAATCATCTTGCCCTTGGCGCCTGCTCGATAGTCCCATGGGACTGATTTTGTGTCATACTCAGGCTTTATAGCGATTAGAGTGGTCACTATAACTCTTGGGAGATATGTTTGGACAATCATAGGTTCTTTTAGTTGAACAGTGATAACAGGTTGCGCCGAAGATGTCATGGCATCTGCTTCATCCACGCTTGGATAGTTAGGGCCCTCATATTCATCATCTAGAGTAACCATGTTGACCTCCCAATTCTCATGGTTTGGCAAGGGGTTGTTGTTTACATTGGGAGGTTCTAGAGTGCATTTGATTACTCCTCTCCAGATCAAAGACTCGATTTGGTTCTTCAAACCTAAACAATCTTCTGTGTCATGTCCTTGGATTCTCGAGTGGTAAACGTTTCACTTGTTTCCATCAAAATTACGAGGGATTGGATCATGAAGTTTTCGTTCAAATGGTTGCAGCATTCCTGCTGTCCTCAACCTCTCAAACAATTGGGCATAGGGTTCGGCAATCAGTGTGTAAGTGCAAACATTTCTAGCTTTGAGATTTAGACGTGGTCTCGGTGCATATGCTGGTCTATTTTAGTGGATTAGCGCTTGGACATGGACTTATGG